GTCGACAACAAAAAGCGGTAAGCCATATTTGGACCACTTCCTCTGCATGTTCACAGCTTCACGCGGAACGACACCTGACATGGACCGATATCCGATTCCTCGTGTCAGATAAAACTCTCACGAGCCAGAAAGATCGGAGAAAGTCGCCAGCAGGTATATTAAAACGAACGATAGCGATCCGACAGCGAACAATAATAAATATTAGGATAAATAACGTAACGTTTGTTTGTAGGTAAGCAGTCAAGAACAAATCTGGTTTCTCTACAAGAAGTATGGCAGGGAAAAACTTTGGCAGGAATATGAGTATTTGAGGAATGTGAATTTTGAGAATTTAGGGATTTTAAAAACTAAAGATTTTGAAATATAGGGATATGAGATATACAGATATGGGAAATGGGGATTTGGGATATAGGAACTCTTAGGAATTGGGAGTCTAAAGATTTTTACGATTTGGGAATCTAAGGATTTTTGCGATTTTGAGATCTAGGAATTTCTGCGATTTTGGGGTCTAGGGATTTTTGCGATTTCGGGATCTAGGGATTTTTGCAATTTTGAGGTCTACGGATTTTTGCGATTTTGGGCTCTAGGGATTTTTGCGATTTTGTGATCTAGGGATTTTTGCTATTTTAGGATCTAGGGATTTTTGCGATTTTTGGGATCTAGGGATTTTTGCGATTTTGGGGATCTAGGGATTTTTGCGATTTTGGGGTCTAGGGATTTTTGCGATTTTGGAATCTAGGGTCTTTACGATTTTGGAATCTAGGGATTTTTGCGATTTTGGAATTTCGGGATTTTTGCGATTTCGGATTTTGCGATATAGAAATTGTTTAACCAGGGATTTGGAATCTAGGGACTTTTATCACTGGAGTATTTGACATCTAGGGATTTTTGCAATTTCAGATTTTGCGATATAGGAATTTTTCATTCTACGGATTTTGAATCTAGGGACTTTTATAAATGAAGTATTTGACATCTAGGGATTTTTTGCGATTTCGGATTTTGCAATATAGGAATTTTATATTCCAGGAATTTGGAATCTAGGGACTTTTGTAAAGGGCGTATTTGGCATTTAGGGATTTTTGTGATTTAGGAATTTGAGATATAGGAAGTTTTTGTTCTAGAGATTTGGAATTTAGGAATTTGTGAACTTATAATTTGAAGATCTAGAGACTTTTAGTTCAAGGATTTCTGGATGTACAGATTTTAATGTCTGAAGACTTTTAAACCTAGGACTTTGTAGTTTTGTAATATGTTAATTTAGGAACTTGAGTATTTTGTAATTTTAAATTAATTTCTGTTTTTAGAAAACAGGAAATTAAAGTAGTTAGATTTAGTTAAACAATACTTGTTTCAAATTGAATTACTGAATCGAATGGCGAGTGAGTCACCTTTCCAATGCAAAGTGTTAAGAATGGTCAAGATTACATACGTGTCCATAACCGTAGAAAGCCTATGTTGCACACGAGTGTACGTTAGCTAACGCGAAACCCAAGTCGCGGCTCCGGTTAGGTAAGCACGGAACATAATTAAGCAAACTTTGGCCGCGATAATGTTAGCAGACAGAAGGGTACGCTGATCTTATTAAAAAAAAAAATGCATGTTTTGACGAGAAATACACGTCTGCGTGTTTCTTCTAGCATAATTACGTTACGCGATGGAAACTGATACAACGCGTTTGGAATCGGTAAAAAAGTTAAAACACGTAGAAAATAACGTGATACTTCTGATCTCGTTGAAGAGAAATATCACGCAAATATGCGTTGGTACAAGTTATATTTTTATGATTATATTATAGCAGTAATAATGGAGAAAATGAGTTAGACTACTGAAGGTTAGGTCTCGGTTAGGTTATATTTTATAACCTTTTATTCGAGAGTTAGGTTAGGATGAAATTATAGTTAGAGCATGGTTAGGGTATTGCTAAGGTTAGGTTCGGAGATAGGTTACTGTTAGGTTGAATTTAAATTGGAATTTATAATTAGATTACGATTAGGTTAGTACAGAGCTAGATCCAGGTTAAATTGATTTATGACAAGGATTAGATCAAAATTGGAGGAGGTTAATCTAGATTATGTTTAGGGTTAGGTTTGGATTAGATTAAGGTTAAAACACTAAATGAATTTATTATTTAAGAAAAACGATTTGGAAAGACCTCTTTGAATAACCCACTATATTTTATACGTGTGAAAATTATAATATCAGAGAAACAATAACAAAGAAATATATGGATTTTATTTTATTAACATGCGAAGATCTGAACAAAATCGAGCGGTATCTTTTTCCTTTGCCCTTGCAACAAATGTTGGTATTCATATAATAAATCGGCTGCAAACGTAAAAAATAATAATAATCATACATAAATTTAGTATTATTTTTATTATATATAATCTGTTGTATTATTTAACCCTTTTATTCTCCTTCCTGCAATTTTCTTCAGATTTATTTTTTTTCTTACTAGGACCTAATGATACCTTATATTTCATCAAAGAGATGAAAAACGGTTTTTGGAATCTCGTCTTTGACGACCTTCTCAACCTATTAGAGAGCCTTGGATACAAAGTCATTGCGTACGCGACCTGATAATCATAATACCGGGAAATTCAAGAAAAGAAATTGAAGAGGCAAATGCCTTAGTCAAAGTAACCATGGACTGATGCCTGAAACACAAGTTGCAGATATCAGCGACAAAATCGGAAATGAAACTCCTAAAGGGTTTCCTAAACATTAAACGACCTCCCACAGTAAAAATTGGCAACACCTCAATGAAAAGGGCTTCGAAGGTGAGATACCTAGGGGTATCTTCCGACTCAGACGCCCTTGCACGTAGCCCTGGTGGTGGCGGTAGCAGTAGTGGTCACCGGTGTCGGCGGAGAGATGTTTTGTGCAGAGGTCCGTATGACCTCCCCGGGATAGTGCTGGCGAGAGGGGAAGGACTCGAAGGCAGAGTACTTTAGCTTGGTCTCGGTCCTTCCCCAAAGATGCTAGGGAATGGCCACCGCGGGGTTTTTAGTCAGTAAGAATCGGACATATCCTTGCGCCCCTCCCCTGCGGTTGCGGGTAACCTATGCAAGGTTTTCCCCGCGTGAAAAAAAAAAGGGAGGATAATATTATAGTTGGAGCACAGTTAGGGTATTGCTAGTGTACGGTTAGGTTCGGAGTTAGGTTACTGTTAGATTCAATTTAAATTGGAACAATTTATAATCAGATTGGGGTTAGGTTAGGTTAGTACAGAATTAGATCCAGGTTAAAGTAGGTTAAACCTATTTATGACAAAGGTTAGATAAAAACTAGACGAGGTCAATCTAGATAATGTTTAAGGTTAGGTTCGGATTGGTTAAAAAGAAATTGAGAAATTTAGAAATTGCAAAATTTACAAATTTGAAGATTTGGAAAATTGAAAAAATTGGAGACTCGCAAAATTTGAAAATTTAGAAATTTTAAAACTTGGAAATTTGAAAATTATAAAAGTCAGAAACAAAATTTTCTAAACTTAAAAATATTCAAATTCGAAAACTTACAATTGCCACTCTAAATTACTTAATGCATTCACAATAAAAAATACAGTCCAACTTTTTAAAAAATTCCTAAAAAAGAAATATCCCAGCAAAACAATGCCCGTGCACAATTTCACAGACCGATAAACGTCCCGTGTATTTCGCCAGATATTCGGGTATGGCGTCTATTTTTACAGAGTTGATCATCCCCTGTATCGATGTTCGAAAACTTATAGCCTGGTTTATCGGATACGATCCCGATACTAATCGGATTATTAACGCATGAATATCGCTTGTTTTCGCAGACGCAAGGTATTAGAAACTTTCAGGATACGTTTGGGCAACGTATCCGCGGCAAATTGCTATAACCTTCAAAATAATACCCATTATCCTGCCTAACCTGATCATGTATCGTTCTATACACTTTATGACATCAATCTTGCAATCTTCCAATTTCGCGAACAAGCGTATCGTTTACGTGATACGTGTAAGTTACACGTTATGTTTAAATCACGTACGAAAATTTCAGTACATGTTTCCATGGCGCTGAAATTAAACGTTTGTTAAAAATTGTATTAATTATATTACTTGATTGGTAGCTAATATTGTACAGGACGTAGGACCTGTTTAATAATCTGTATAATATTAGCGACCACAAATCTCACGTAATTTTGTTTACGATTATTTAAGTACTTATTTTAATACGTTGGCTGCAACGTCAGTCACCGCTGACTGACACTGAACTTTTCGTTTAGGGTGCGTCAATCACCGGTGGCTGACACTGAACGTTCAGTTCAGACTGCGTTAGTCACCAGCGACTGATACTAAATTTTCTCTTCAGACCGTGCCTAACCTAAACTAAGATTATTATAAACCAACGTAACTTGATTTAATTTTGACCTAACCTCAATTATCAGCTTGGTACTCCGAACTAACCCTAATCCCATTTAAAGCCGATCTAACCGTAAACTGTCCTAACCTTAACTTATTGACAAGTAGCCTAACAAATATAAACTTATAAATATACTTAACAACCTAACCTTACTACAAATATAATCCAGACTAGCATAGTGTAACGTTGACCTAACCTTCTACTAACCTAACCGTAGTCTAATTATAAATTATTCTAATATATATTCAAAGTATGTAACTGTAATCTTGAACATAATACTAACCTAGCAATAACCTAATCGTGCTTTAATTATAATTATATCCTAACCTAACTTAACCCTTAAATAGAAAGTAATAATGTAACCTAACCTAGACCTAGCCATCAGCAGTCCTATTTTAACCTTATTTTAAACTATCAAATATCTAAAACATTTAAAATAACAAAATATCAAATTTCTAAAATATTCAAATTTTAATAACAGACCTAACCTAACCTAACAGAAAATTATAGTATACATAATGTGTAACATCAGAGTTTATGTACGTCATTAATTATCCTTTAACATTCACAGACCCTCCCAGCTTCTAACCCCATAAAAATATTAAAGTACTTACTTTCCTTTACATTCGAACCACAAATTAAAATCATTTATCCTTCGATCTCCATTATTTGCAAATCCGAAGTCGTCGACATTTTACGACATCTCATTACCAGTGGTTAATAACATACCTGTAATTAATTCAGAAAACTATAATATATGAGCAAAATAACGACGGCGCGATTGAAATAACTATTCAAAATGACGCAGAGTTTTAACGGCAACGATATGCAAATACAAATTTTCTCACATACACGCTCTCACTACACAGGTTACAATATTTTTCTTGCTATTTAAGAACAGGGTAAATTTAAACGTTCTTAATAAGATATCTCGTATAACTTTCTTGATAAAAGAAATGTAATTGTGGCTTACGTAATCAACGTTTCGCGATCATGCTAACCGAAACGAGTAATAAAAGCAGTAATGAGTAAATGATGTAAGTATTTTATAGCGGAACAATTATTACATTGGATAAGCTTGTTCGCTGAGGATACGTATGTTGCGTGCTCTTACTATTCTCGTTTATGATTTTATGGCCGGAAGGTATTATATGTACCTATTCGCAATTTTATCTTTTTCAGTTAGCAGTTCTAGGAAACGTGCCTTCTTCGGAGAGAGGTATTTTAGTTGAATTTGGTTCGAGCTGTAGAATCGGCTGATTTAATAACTGCATTTATTTTCAAATTTTGAAATTTCAAATTTTAGAATTTGAAACTGTTTTAATTTTAAATTTTCAAATTTCTAATTTTCAAGTTCTCGAATTTTCAAATTTCTAATTTTCAAGTCCTCGAATTTCCAAATTTTCAAATTTCAAATTAGAAAATTTTCAAATTAAAAATTATCAAATTTCGAATTTTCAAAATCAGAATTTTTGGATTTCCGAATTTCCAAATTTCAAATTTTCAAAATCAAAATTTTCAAATTAGAAATTCAAAACTTACAAATTTTCAAATTCAAAACTGAAAATCTGCAAATTTTCCAATTGAAAACTGAAAATCTGAAAATTTGCAAATTGAAAACTGAAAATCTGAAAATTTGCAAATTGAAAACTGAAAATCTGCAAATTTTCAAATTCTAAACTCAAAATTTGCACATTTTCAAATTCGAAACTCAAAATCTGCAAATTTTCAAAATAAAAACTCAAAATTTGCAAATTTTCAAATTCAAAACTCAAAATTTGCACATTTTCAAATTCGAAACTCAAAATCTGCAAATTTTCAAATTCAAAACTCAAAATTTGCACATTTTCAAATTCAAAACTGAAAAACTACAAATTATCAAATTCAAAACTCAAAATCTGCAAATTTTTAAATTCAAAACTCAAAATCTGCAAATTTTGAATTTCAAAATTTACGAATTTCTAATTTTGAAGTTCTCAAATTTTCAAATTCAAAACTCAAAATTTTCAAATTTAAAAATCCCAAATTATCAAATTCAAAATTCTCGAATTAAAAATACTATGTTTCAAATTGTAAGTTTTCTAATTCCAACGTGGCACGTTTTCACATTGCAAATTTTTTAATTTTGTTCTCAAATTTTCGAATTCTATATTCTCATTTCCCTAAATTTTCAAATTTCTAAGCACTATATTAATTGATCATAAACGTAACTCTTCGCAAATTCATAAAATCTCTTCTCTCCTCAAAAACTAACCTGCTCCTTATCCAAAATTTAAAATCTATTTTTAATTTACTCTACACGCGAAAACGAAAGAATGCATTTTAAATGCATTCTATAATTCTATCCCTTTCTATTTCATAGCACTGATATTATAAATGTAAATTCATATCAAACATCGTATAATAAAATTAACAAATTTTCAGAGACTCCAAAGAATTAAAAGGTCTTTGAATTCGAAATGATTGCCAACTCATCGTTACTTATTGGCTAGTCAGATTCACGCTGTGCGCGAGAATTAGATTGACGAGTTTTGTAGTCATTTGCAACAGTGAAGGTAGAGCAGAGTGGAGAATTTGCTTGAGCAAGATTAAATGGGAGGACGGAATAGACAAGAAAAAGGAAAATAAAAGAAAATGGGAGAAGCGACGTACTAGAGAAATACAAAACGTCTCAACTGTGCAGGAGGTTATTTAAATATCAGTCTTTAATGGTGTAGAAAAGTACGTTCCGGAACGAAATTATACTTATTTCGCGACGTATGTAATATTGAAAATGTGACTTTTTTAAGGGCGGTGTTTTTACAAGATCTGTAGATCAGCATGCTGCAATTATACTTGTAATGTTCACATAACCTAAGTTCATCTAACTTCATCTAACATTGTTATATTATTGTTTAAATATTAAAATTAAACCTTTATTATTTTATAACTTGTAAATTTAAATTATTTAAATTTCTATATCAGTTAAATTAAGATTTTTAAATCTGAGAATTTAATACTTCATAATGCCTAATTACAAAAATTTGGATTTGGAAATTAAAAAATTTAAGGTCTGTGAATTTGTAAATTTGTCAAATGTAAATTTTTTAACTCCTCAAATAAGCATATTTAAAATTTCTAAATTTGATACTTTAATATTTCTAAGTCCTTAGACTTCAACATTTGAGTTTCATAAACTTATAATTTTCTATTTTTGTAAGTTTCAAATTTCTAAATTTGAAGTTTCCAAATTTCAAAAATCAATTTTCACTTCATCTTATTAAAACCAGATTACTCATAAATCCACCATTTTAAATTCTGCTATAAATATTTGTGACACGTTTAAAAGATGCTCGTTATCTACATTTGCATACTCACTGTATTTGAAATGTTTACGACCGCAAATCACTAACGCATTTTACAAAACAATAGCACCCGAAGCTCGTTCAAACAGCAACAAATCCTGCTAGCGAACGCTGTACATGCAAGATGCGATAAAATTCGCAATGTCGTTCGAAACGATAGTCTCGGCTGGGGTTATTACACGATCGTGTTGTTAAATGGCACCAAGGGGCATCGAAAGCCTCGTGAAGCTGAATGAGAGAGCATCGGCTAAAATTAAGTGATAACGTCACGTGCACTCGTGCCGACTGCATAGTGACATCATCTTTCGCGACTCACGCACGATTACACTTTTTCTTTTCTGGTTATTTTCCGCTACGCCCCATCTGTCTCTTAATTGAAAAATTTTTTCATTTCAAGATGTAATGCTCTGGTATTTGAAAATTTGAGTATTTAAACTTTAGAAGTTTGAAAATTTCGAATTTCATAGTTTGGAATTTCGAAAATTTGCCATTTTGAATTTTGGATTTTGAAAATAATACAAACCTTCCATTTTGAAAGTTTGAATTTTGAATTTTGAAAATTTGACTCCTTGTCATTTTGGAATTTTGAATTTTGAAAATTTGAAAACGTCATTTTGAATTTTGCATTTTAAAAATGTTTAAATCTGCCATTTTGAAATTTGGAATTTTGAAAATATGAAAACATGCCATTTTGGAATTTGGAATTTTGAAAATTTAAAAACTTATCATTTTGGAATCTGCAAGTTTGAAAATTTGAAAATTTACAATTTTGGAATCTGCAAGTTTGAAAATTTGAAAACTTACAATTTTGGAATTTTTAATTTTGAAAATTTGAAAACCCGCCAAACGAAATTTGAAAAAGGTTTCGTGAAGTACAAAAATGTCATATTTTTCAAACTTAAAAATTTATAAATCTCCAAGTACTTAATTAATAAATTTGAAATTAATAAATCCAAAATTTCATATTAAATTTATAAATTCAAAAATTTTCAAAGTTGAAAATTAATAAATTTCATATCACCAAATTTATAAATTTCAGATTATCAAATTTATAAATTTAGTGAACTGTCAAATATAAAACCCTTAAATTTGAAATTTTTCAAAATTAAGTGTCTGAAAACTGTACATATACAAGGAATACTATTTACAGCATTTTAATGAGCGTATAAAGACTGTAATAATCACCGCAAAAAAAGAAGAAAAAGAAAGTTGAAAATTATTAGACAGCGTAATTAGAGGCTCAAAGCGCGTTAAATGATCTCTATGGAAGCACTCGGCTGAGTCATTGCGGCTCGTTACAAAAGACGACCAACTAACGGATCCGTGAACTTGCGCTTATTTTAATCCATAGGCTCGTCAACAACATCTATGGATCCAGCTGCTTAGATTAAGGGTCAACTCTGCGGGCCGAATACTCTCGGTATGATTTTTAGTAACTCTAGCGGTAAATTAATAAATTCCGGCGATCTTGGTTTATTTTACATTGTTTTGTTCCGAAGGAACAAGGGTAGATATTTGGTTTCCAAAAATGTGCAAAAATACGACTTTGCGAAGACTTTGCAATCAGGAAGCAATATTCTGTCACGATTTCTTTTTTTTAAATATTCTTTGCATAATTCTTCAGTAAAGAGTCTCATTTTGCAATTTCACCCTTAAACCTTCATGTGAAGAGAACATGCAAGTTTTTATAGAAGAAATTTTTGCAAGTCCCACTTATCCAAAAACATGCACTAGATGTATACTTGTGTCAATATTAATTTCGATAATTTATTTTAGTAATAATATGTGATTATGTACTTGTATATTTACTTAAAATATAATTCTTAATAATTTATTTTCAAAATACTTTATATTATTAAAATATTTGTATAGAGATATTAATTTTAATAGTTTTATGTATATTAATTTGAATTTACTTGATTTTTTATTTAAATCGAATCATTATTTACTAACAATGTGTGATTACATTGATTTTTAATATTATGCTCAATAATTTGTTGAAAAAAAAGTTTATTCTCTATACATTTATATCAACATTAGTTCTAATAATTTACTTTAATAATAATGTTATTATTTATTTACATATTCATTTTATTAGTATTTTTAAATATTTATTTATGAAATTTTTAATTTATACAATAATTATGTCAATATTAGTTTTAATAATTTATTTGAATAATAGCATGTGATTATTCATTTCAATATTTATTTGAATTATTTATTTCACTTGAATAAGAATTTTGTTCTTTTATTTACATTATCAATACTTTATTATTCTATTTGTCCACAACAATTTTTATCTAACTCTAAAAATTGTTGCATGAATTTTAAAATTCATGAATTTATATACACATACATTTCAATATAATTTAGCTATAATTTCTGTATTATACTATACACGTACAAAATAGTAACCACATCGTTTGCAGGTTAAAAAGTTTCATCACACAAACCATTTCCAGTAATAAAAACACTGCACATCAAAATCGCAAGTGCATAATCTCAAATGCATTAAAATCGCGTTAAATCAATGCTTGAATCATAAAACTCCTCATGGAATAAACGAATAAAAATCATGGAATACTTTTTTCTGCAGTAAAAACCTCATCGAGGTTATGAAACGAAAGAGGAACTCGTTCAAGGATATTCAAAGCTTCGCCAGCATAACATAAATGATAGGGTGGATTTCAAACGTTTCCCCTAAGGATGGGTTTCTTCAGACATTGAAACCTCGACACAGCTCGAAACATAAGAAAGTTTCGAGTTTCGAGAATTCGAAACTTTGCACTTTTTCGTGATCCGAAACTTTCGAAACCCAGACAAGAAAATATACAAAATCGACGAATAAAAATCGTTCGCAGCGTGTTTCGAGAATATTTGATTCATGTACAAATATTTAATATTTTCTCATATATTGTATCCATACGAATTAAAATCTAGACTGAATTTTGTTCCTACTAAACATAACCTACAAGAAACAAATTGTAACTATGAATATTCGTTTCTTACATACGTATATTTACTAACAGTTTTCCAATACGTACTTGTGTTTGGTTCAGCGAATGAAGGTCCAGCTGATTTGTCTTCGTTCTTCAGTCGTGTTAATATCATTTTTGTCTTAAACATGGAGAGGGTACCATAATTATTAAAAAGAAACCTTAAATATTGACAACTGCCTGTCACCGCTAGGACGTCTTCGAGCCAATCGGAACGATTCGGCAATCTTCGATAATTTACGGCGCGTGGGCCGGTTGCCGGTAAGCGTCGGTTAGCACGTGGCGAAGAGAATTTGAAAAGCGAACAGTACAAGACGTGTAGTGTAAATAACTAATTAATTGTTAAATTAAAGGATAGAGTCGTGGAGTTAATTTCGAAATTCTAACTACAATTCCATGGATGGTTTTCACGGCATTTAATTTGCAGTTATCCGGCAGCTGAACCATGACATTGTCGAGTTAAAAATGGTAGAATTTACGTTTATTTCGAGCAGACACTTTTGGAGGGCTCACTAAAAACTTCTCACCGTAATTACATCTGTTACAAACATAATTGGCGTCAGCACTTTTTAAACCATTTGTTTCACGATATAACCGTAACCTTCGATGCAAAAGACGTTGATCATGGCTTTTTCTCTCTATGAAAGTTCTTTTCCAAGAGGCATTCCACTTTCTAACTTTTTGAAATGAGTCTTGCGAATATAAAAGGAAATGAAGGTATGTAAATAATTAAATACATGAAAGTAAGATGAATTTGTTTACTTATGAACCTTGATTGAAAATAAGAATATACAAGATTGTTATATGTATAAGCAAAATAAAATTACCACTTCATTTTAGAGTTTCGTGATTTTACAAAGCTTCGAATTCGAGTTTGGAGAATTAAAAAATTCGGTTTGAAGCCATCCGTAGTTTTCAGCATTGGGATCGCTGAACTTCAAGGAGAATCGAAGGTTAGGGGAGGTTATGGCCCCTGATGGCGACGGTCGACGATGGATATACGAGGGGACACATGGAAACGCGTGTACGAAACACCAGACGAGGGTGAAACGAGGGTGAAACAAGGGTGCACAGACTGCGTGGAGCCGGGCTCGTTACCGGGGAACCAACCCTTAGTACGAAACACTGCATTCGATTTGGTCCATAAGCAGTGAAAATCAAACCAGTCGATTTCGAATGATAATACGTACGCGAGAACAGGTTGATATATTACTTTCGGAAGTAATAGAAACGACGGAAAAGTGGAGGAATTTTAAAGAAGAAAAACGAGGAGGTAATTATTTAGAAAGCAGGCGAGTTTCCACTCTCGATGAATGCTAAATGTAACAAAATCACCATTTTGAATTACTTGCACACGTAACGGTCTCTCATAGTTTTCGAGAAATACAAAAACTGTCACAACTGTTTTACCGAATTCCGCCGTATACGCGTATCTGCGACGCGGTCAAGTGTATTCGACATTCGTGTATCGCGCATTTATTTCGTCCATTTTTTTAAGGCGTACGCGGAAAGATAGACGCGATTGTTTAAGGTTATACTTTTTCGCGGCCATCTTGTGCCGGAGATCTACCTCGAACCGAACATTTTCAAAACATCACCGAAACTAAGGCGTAATGGAGGTTACGCATGTAGGACAAAGTTATTCAAAATGGCGGACTTGGTAACATATTTCATCACTGAAATCGTCGAAACGATGGTATTGAAAATTCGATTTTTACGCATGTTTACATAAAAAATATGACATTCGTAGTTGGCGCGTGGAACCAATGAAAACATTAATAAAGTTTTTAATAAATTTAAAGTGTATGTAGATGATTTCAGTAAAATAGTGCATATGACTGAAGCGTTATTTTCTGTGTTTGAAAATAATAAATTAAACAAACTTAAAATATTATTATTAAAATTAAAAATTTTAAAAGGTAAATAAAATAAACTTTGTAAAAGTTGATAAACTGCAACGGTAAATTAAAATACACTTTATTACTAAAATAAAGTCTGTTCATGAAGATAAGGAACTTTTTATGTGGACTGTTGCTGGACCAACAGAATGGGCCGTTTTCTTGGTATTTCGTTTAGGGATATCATCGCAATCGTCCGGTGCTGTATTGTCTTCCTTTATAATGGAAGAACACAAGAGTCTCTAAAAGATAAAAACCTGGAATAACTGTGGCAGTGGGATTGCGTGGCGACGCAGAGAGCACCGGTTAGTGACACGCCTAGGATTCTCTGTTGTAGTTGTGGCAATCTACCGAGCTGACATCCTCACCCACGTCACGCTTCAATAAACCTATATACAGGGTGTTCTAGTTCAACTGTTGGATGCGAGCTGCTTTCAAATCGATAATGGGATGATTAAGTGGTCGCCGAAGGGTTCGTGAGCACTGGGATACACGGAGTGTGCAGCGATGAAAGACACGCAACCTTTTTTACTGCTTTTAGAATTTTAAACTTGGAAATTTAGATATTTAGGGGTATAGAAATTTAAAGTTTTTTTATTTAGGAATTTAAAAGTATAGAAGTTGTAACTCTACAAAAAGCAAAGTTTACTTTTTGGAAGAAATTTACTTCAGGAATTTTAAGACTATTCCTTTTTAGGAATTTTAATTCCTTAAGACTTAAGGAATTTGGAGATTTAGAAATTTAATGATGTGGAAATTTCAGATTTAAAGAATTAGAAATATAGAAATACAAAAATGTCAGATTAGGGGGTTCAAAAATACAAAAATTTAGAAACTTCAAGTTTTAGAGAATTAAAAATACAGAAGTACGAATTTCACAATTTGCAAAATTTCTAAATTGTCAAAATTTTTTAAAAATTCTCCAAATCTTTAAATTCAAAAATTTTTTAAATTCTGAATTTCCTAGTTTGTAATTCAAATTATTTCTAACTTACTAAATTCGCAATGTACCAAATTTCTAAATGTTCAAAACCAAAAAAATTATCAAACTCCCCAAAAATTTCCATAAATTCACAAAAAGTTCAACCTACTAAATTCCTAAACACCTCAGTCCCCAATTTTTTCTCAAATTTTCCAGTTTTTAAGTCTAAAAATCCTCAAATACTTAAATTATTAAATCCGTTATAAACCCAAACTAGAAAATGATAAAAATTCATCTCAAGTCGTTCAACAGTAGTTGTACAGCACTCGTTGTATTTAAAACTACAATTTATGCTCCACAAAAATTTTGCCAAGTTTCGCAAGAATTTATTCTTCTTAACTACTCCTGATTTATTTATGAAATTGTCCAGCTAACGAATGGCATCATCGCCATAATCGCAAACGATGAATCATAAGATCTAATGGCGAAACAATTGAACAGACGGATGTGAAAAGTCTGCAAGCCTACTCAACACGCATACTTTCCATAAGCAAATACCTAAGTATTATAATCCTGTATCATCTAATAATGATTATTTCTTAATACCCATGCAATAAGGAATATGAATCATATAATTAAAAATATCATAGCATTTATCGTTCTCTTTGTTAACATACATACAGAATTTCAAGTAATTAACATATTATTACTAGGATAATTTTATTGACAATTGTAATTAATAGTGAGATTGATCGAGTCATACACATGATTAATGCTTACTGTGTAATTAAATTTAATATAATTTAGGGTTTGGAAATTTAGGATTTTAAAATTTAGTCATTTTTTACGTTTAACAGTGGGGATATTTGAGGATTTAGGAATTTTAGTATTTAAGAATCTAGGAATTTTTTTAATTTTGGAGTTTTAGGATTTGAGTATTTTGGAATTGGAAAATTTACGAATTTTGGAGTTTTGAAATTTCTGAATTTGGGTATTTGGATTTTCAAAATTATGGAATTGGAACATTTGGCATTTCAAAAATTTGGAATTTTGAAATTTCAGTTTTGAAATTCCAAATTTTTTGAATTTTAGAATTTGAGTTTTGAAATTTCAGATTTTTGGAATTTTGGAATTTGAGGAAATTTTCAAATTTTTGGAATTTGAGTTTTGAAATTTCAGATTTTTGGAATTTTGGAATGAGTTTTGAAATTTACAAATTTTTGGAATTTGAGTTTTGAAATTTCAAATTTTTGGAATTTTGCAATTTGAGTTTTGAAATTTTCAAATTTTTGGAATTTGAGTTTTGAAATTTCAGATTTTTGGAATTTTGGAATTTGAGTTTTGAAATTTCAAATTTTTGCAATTTTGGAATTCGAATTTTGAAATTTCAGATTTTTGCAATTTTGGAATTTGTGTTTTCAAATTTTAAATTTTTGCAATTTTTGAATTTGTTTTGAATTTTCAAATTTTTTAAATTTTGTAATTTGAGTTTTGGAATTTTCAAATTTTTGGAATTTGAGTTTTGAAATTTCAGATTTTTGGAATTTTGGAATGAGTTGAAATTTTCAAATTTTTGGAATTTGAGTTTTGTAATTTCAAATTTTTTGAATTTTAATATTTAGTAATTTGAAAATTCTAGTTTAGATTTATGGTTTTAAAATATTTATGGATAAATGAATTTAGAAATTATAAAATTTGAAAAAGTATAAATTTTGAGAATTTAAATATTTGAAAATCTCGAACTTTAGTAACCTGTCATCTTCTCAGGTAGCGTACGATATTTCGTTGTGAAGATGTATTTTATATGTTTATCCCGTTTGTTAGTTAAAAAGGAATATATAATGGCGTCCATCAATGAATACACTGATCAGCATCCATAGATTCACTACCGTATTTACGACCCACTCACAGTACAAATCCATTAAATCTTCCTCGAATTTTTAATACGCTTCAATATCTGAACTATTATATACATCCAATTACAATTTGCATAGTCAACGATCGGTGAATATAAAGCACACATAACGTTTTAACTTTCTTTATTCGTTCAATATAGTAACCGTGAATATTTAGTTGCGCCTGCCACACCTGACAAATAAACTGTCCAGCAAGGGGTTAAAGTAACGACTCGTTTCATCATGGAAATGGCAATGATTCTCAAGATATTTACCACGGAAAAATTGCCTATCGAGAACGAGTGGATGCGGATTGGGCCGTATACGTGTAGGTGTTATTACATGCGCATATGAACTGTCATAAAGAACACAGCAGGGCAGCAGATGTGCATCGTAATCACAGGAAGACGATCGTTGCTAGAAGGGCTCTGCATTTGCAACCTTGACGAAGAACAATTGCTCTTTGAACTTTTCTTGGTACACGTTGCGTAGGTGTTCCTGCGTCTTTTAGGATCGAGTTTCATACCGGAGTACATATGGACACATACGTATACTGACGAATAACTGCACGATTTTCTTGTGTGAAGTGTTTAACGCAATGTGACGCACGGATCGTTGACGATATTAACGGATAAGATTGGCGGATCTGGATTGCTGAATCTGAATTCTTAATTTTTTAATGTGTTTTTTATCTTCGAAGTTCCCAATTTGAAAATTTATTGATTGTTTGAGGAATTTTTAGATTTACGAGGTGCGAGATTTCCAAGTTTCTAAATTCTGAAATTCTGAAAATTCTGAGAGTTCTCAAAATATTCAGAATACAAAATTTATCAATTTCTTAAAATTCTAAAATTTTCAAATTCCAAGAATGTAAAAATTCTCACATTTCCGAAATATTCAAATTCTAAAATTTTCAAAATTTTTAAATTTCCAAATTCCAAAAGTTCCAAAACT